TCCCAAAACCAGTCCAGCTCGTCCCCGCCTCCCTAACCTGTTCTTCCTCCCACCTATCCCCTCCTCCCACCTCAAGCCGCACCCCCATCTCCTACCGACTAACCTCATCCCACCCCCTTGACCTGTCTGTCCTCCCTGGACTGACCTATCCCCTCCCTAACTCCCCACCTACACTCACCTTTACTGGCTCCATCCCCACCTCTTCGACCTGTTTGTTTCCTCTCCACCTATCCTCTCCTCTATCCCTCTTCTATCCACCTCCCACTCTCTCCCTATTTATTTCAGAACCCCCTTCCCCTTCCCCTTTTCTGATGAAGGGTCTAGGCCCTATGCCTGCTGTGTTCATCCAGCCCTGCACCTTGTTGTCTCAGCTGCTCTGGTGTCTTTATTGTAGCTTAATTAATCAGGATTTCAAGTTGAGAAATATCACTCAGATGTTAGCTGTAGTTCTATCAACTAGTCAAGTTATAAATTGAATGTATTACCTATATCTGCCCTAAACCAGTTTAAAGAACTGCATCCTCATAATGGAACAAAATATTTTAAAAAATAAAAGTATTGAACATGCACCAGCTACTGAAGGTTGGGGAAAAGTAAAAAAGTAGCTCCCTCCCCCCCACCTCAAATTCAAGTTAATAGCCAGACAGAAGTCATTTAATTTTTATTTTAGATACTTCACACACCATTGTTCCTTAAAGTTGTATATGAAATTATTTCTAAACTAAGCTAACTCCTGGGGGCAAACTTCAATTTATTTAACAGAATCCTTTTTCTCAAAATGAATGAGGAAATTTCAGGTTCTAAAAATCAGCATGTCACATGCCCCTCTTGTGGCACTTATCAAAGACAAATCAGACTCACCTGTGAGGTCCTCCATAGCTGAGTAGTCTGACAGTAGTGACTGTCATAATGGCTTCTGGAATAAGCCAGGAGATACCCGTGCATCTTTGAAGACCTGGAACCTTCAGTTGGGGCTGGGGAAGGGGAATTGGAATAATTTGAAAGAAAAGCAATCAAGTCCTCTTTAAAACCTGTGAGGAGCTCTAACATTGCTTGTATATCATGGCGTGTGAGCCAACTACATTTTTCTTCCATATGGTATGTTACAGGGGAAGGCCATGTGCCTCTGAATGTCATTCATTCCCATGGTTACAAGAGGACTCACAAATGAACCCAAGACGTTCGACAATTTCCTTTCAAACAACAAAGCTCAGGAATTATCTAAAACAACGTGAGAAACGGAGGACACTTCTAAGTACAAAGCACGAGGTGCTCATGTTTCAGTGATAAAGAGAAATCTGTAAAAGGGATTAAATATCCGAATATCTTTAATTGATCTGTTTTTAATTTGCAAAGTTAGAGAAGGTATGCCATGAAGGAAAATTAGTTTGCAAGCCATAACTTGGGTTTTCCCAAACTTGAATAAATACACATTTAAACAGTTTGATTAGCAGCATTTGTGCACAAGAGAAGTCGATCCAATAATGAGTGGTAAAAATTTAAAATTAACTACAGTTGTAGCATGAAAAATGAAGGGTTTTTTTTTGTGTTAGCATGTGTTCTGAGAGCCTCTCACCACCTCCCTTCCTTTACTGAACATATCTGAATGCCGACCCCTTCGTCATGAGGCAACACAGAAGCAGGGGTGGACTTTTGTAGGATGGTAAAGGAACACATCATTGTAATTAATTCTTTGCCACATTGAAACAGGTAGAAGCATATAATCAAAAATGCAATGTGGTGAACCAGTCAATGGAGAAAAAATAATAGTAAATGTTCAATATTATTTGAGGAGATGTGTCACACAAAAGCTTGGATAAACAAATTCACTGCAAACATGTATATAATTTCTGAAATGTCAGTCTTTTCAAAAATATTAATTTTTATATTACTGGGCTAGTGTTGCAGAGGCTTGAAATAATGCAAGTTCAAATTTTACCATAGCAGTTTGAGAAGTCAAATTCTGTTCTAACTTTTAAAAAAAACTAGTTTAAAAAAAAGCGTTGTCAGTAATCTTGAAGCTGTTGGATGTCACTGGCTCACTGATACTCTTTAGGGAGGGAAACCTATCCTAAGTCCTGTCCCGTACTAAGAATGTTAACATCAAAAAATGGCAGGCAGGTGAGACTTGTTTAGTTTGGGATCATGGTCAGCACGGACTGGTTGGACGGATGGGGCTGTTTCTATGCTGTATGAATCTACTCTTAAAAACCTAATTGGCCTGGCAGAATCTGTTGAGAAACAAAGACAGTTAATGTTTCGAGGTCAACATGACTTTTCTTTTGTAACTAACGCTTAACTGATCTCTGCCAACAGTTCAAGATGTAAGACTTCAGTGCAACTTCGCAGTGATGTCCAAATCCTGAAAAATGAACATGCAGAGAAAATCTCATTATCCAAAGTTGTGTTTAACACCTTATGCATGCTGCAGTGTTCACTTCCTGCTTTCAACACTGCTTTTGAGATATACAAGGACCTACCCTGCATTTATGTAATTTATGAGTTAGAATCAACAGAAGATGGAGCTGTCAAATTGCTTCCATTCTCAGCCAATGAAAACAGCCATCCTGATTTTTTTTCTGAAGGGTCCTGACCCAAAAAGCCAACTTTCCTGCTCCTCTGATGCTGCCTGGCCTGCTGTGTTTCTCTAGCTCCCCACGGTTATCTCTGACTCCAGCATCTGCAATTCTTACTATCCTAATTAGTTACCCAGTCATTCTAACAGATTTGATTAACAGTACTGTATAGCTATCTTCGACATATCGTAGCAATTAGAAGCCATATGAAAGCAAAATAGTATTAAATTTAAAAGGTACAGATTATGTCACTTACACTGGCATACCTGGATAATAAAAAGGCCTAAATTTTCAAATTCAGTGACATTATCAAATTCCACACACATTTGGGTTGGCAGAGGGGTTTCTGTATTAATATTGCAGTCTCAATGTTAGTTGTTATTGTTCTGATTTGATACCTTGCTCTACTTTTATCCATTTTTGAAAAGTAAATCTCTTAAGGTTCATCCAATTCCCGGTTTTTTTTGGAATTACAAATTTAAAAGTAGAGCTACTTTGTGAATATCTGTGCTATCATGATCCAGACATGTTTAAGCAGAACAGAACCTTAAGTAGCCAGCAATTTCAGAATGTTTCTTTCAAATTAAGAGTATTTTAAATACAAAACTATAATCTGCATGGAAAGTCAATATTCTAAGTGTGTATGTGTTTCATTCTTTCAATAAATTTTGCCGTTTACAAATTGATTTAAAATTACTTAATTTGTGAAAGCTGTTTCTGGACAATCACAACAGTAGAGAAATTTCAGCAATTTCAACTTGACCACGACACTTAACAAGCTGTTGAAGATTTTCCTCTTCGGAGTAGCACGGTGGCTCAGTGGATAGCACTACTCCTTCACAGCGCACCTGAGACCTGGGTTCAGTTCCCACCCAGGGTGATGTTTGCATGTTCACCCTGGGCGGGACACAGTTCAGAGGCTCTGTGCAGACTCGATAGGCTGAATAGCCTCTCTCTCTACACTGTAGGGATTCTGTGATTATATGATCAGGACAGACACGAATGCCAAATTTCATAGGAGTGATGCAAATACAAAAAAAGTGCTGACTGTTTGGGAAGCCAATGATGGAGAATTCACAAGAGAATTATAATCCCCACCTTGTCTAATTCAGAAAAGTTCTTGTCCTTTTTGGAAATGTTCTTCCTGCTGAAGATAGATCCATGTGCATGACATATGTCAGCTTGCTAGAAGCTACGAGTCACATTGCAAATCCAGTTAATAATCTTAAATCAGTCCATTTGTAATTCTCAGCATACTTGCAAGAGCTGCCCAAACACACAGGATCACCTCTAATGTTAGATATTATGCTCCTGAGTTTTGAAGCATGGTCAATATCTACCTATTGCAAACAGCCAAAAGAAACATACTGTTCAGTCTGATCTGCCAGTCATACTTGCAGCCTACATATAGCAGTAAAATTCATATAGCACATTACCAGTAGACAGAACATTCACAGGCCAGTCGGATGATAATGAAGGATTCATTTGTCCTTGCCAACCCTTAGACTATTAGTCTTTCCTATATATGAGGTTAAAGGCAAGGAGTGTTCCTCCAGTTGTGGTTTTTGTTTTGGACTTCAATCTCCTCATCTAATATATGATGCAGAGCTACCGAATATTAACTGAAGTTTGTCATCTGGAAAACTTCATTGTGTTTTCATAGGAGGATCATTAGAATTGACCCACACCGTCCCTTGTTCATTCTGATACTTTTCTCTTGACTGGAAAAAGATGAGATTTAATATTGATCAAATTTTAACTGTGCCTCCAATTTCTCTCAATACAAATTATGCAATTAATACTCTGGTATTTGTTGAGATATCAGAAGTTGGATGGTATTTGAGATAGGGATCATCATAAGACACCAAGCAGTAAAGGAATTCAGCACCTTTGGTGATGACTTTTTTTTAAAACCAGTCTCATGAACTGCAAGAGGTTGCTTTTTCCCAGCTTTCCACGCTGGGAATATTAAATATCAGTCATGACAGCAGGACATCTCAAACACTTTTACAGCCAAATTAAGTATTTTTGAACTGTAATCATTGTTGTAACACAGGAGAAACAACAGCCAATTTGTATAAAGCAAGTTCCCTCAAATAGCAATGCTGTAATGACCTGTTTTCACAATGTTGATTGAATAAATTGATCAGGACACTGGGGATAACCCACTTGCTGCTCTTCAAAATAGTGACATAATACCTGTCTGTCTTGTATCTGCATGTAAGGATTTCTTTCCTCAGCTTTTAATGGTACATTAGGTCTACGAACAGCCTTCACATTCCATACCTGAAACTTTGACTTGTTCATTTACACTCCTGCTATAGATGCTCCTTGCCAAATGGACAACTTGCTGTATACGTACTTGTTTCATAACTGTGGTCATTACCCTAACAGTCTTAGCTACAAAATAAGCACAACATTTCATCTTTTCTCATTAGTTTTATTTAATCCCAAAGACAATTGTAAACACATCTAATTTTGCTTGATAGGGGGAACTCAAAATAAAAACTGACATATCTCTTCAACAAAATAATTCTTCTCTTCCTACATCAATACAGTTACTGTATGTTCACTGGTCCACAATTACGTACATTACAGGTTCAACAGTACCAGCGACTTGTGTTGAGAGTCTCTATTCTGTCAATAGTATAATGCTTTGTTGTATATACACTTCTAAAAACACAAGCTATAAAAATTGCACAAGTGGTTTCCGCAAAGCATTACAGAAAGAAAGTTGCTTATTATAATGAGCAACATGCCATGGTTTTGTTTATATCAAAAAAGTATTCCGTTATTCATAAAACATCCCGAGGACAATAGACACTGGCAAAAAATGGAATGCCAGTTCAACAACAGCAGACAAACAAAAATAAAAGCACACACTAAGATATTAAATACATACATAGATACTTTGATTGGAAGTTTTTATTCTTCCCACTTAGTATACATTGTGGGAACATACTGTTAACATTTTTGATCGGGATGGAGTTTGGAACAGTTCAGTTGTGCAAGGATCTCACCTTTTGGATTTCCTATAACAAAACAAGATAAAAGGAAGTTATTTTTTAAGAAAATCACAAAAAGTGAAGCACAACTCACAATACAATACAAAACACAATACAATATATTTTTATTGATCTAAATTGCTCTTTCTCAAGTTTCCACATGTCTTTGCACTGCCAAGTGCTGTTGCGTGTTGGAGGGTGTTATTAATCCCATGACAATGTCTGAAGAAACGAAGGCTCTCCAAGTGGCCTGGCAAGTCTTTTTTTTAAACCAAAGTGTAACAGCTGGTTCTTCAACTGACGGTTTTGAAATCTTACAGTTCTCTTTCTAGAAGTGTTCCTTCTCTTGGTGCTTGTAGGACTGCAAAATTGTCATACTTAATACTGAATATTTATTAACTTAATGTTCAACACTTTCAAGGCTAAACAAATGAATTAAATATGACATTAGAATACTCTGTGCAGTGCAGAGGTTGTGAAATGTTTTGTCTTCTGGAAGATGTCACCCGTTATAACAGTATGCTAGCCAGCCTTAGTGAACGGATGGTGAGGTGTTAAATCCTTGTTTAAAAAGAGGGAAGTTGTTTCAAGATGATTATGCTTGGGCTCGAATAGCTGAGGTGATCCTGATACGTGGAACAGGAGGGTGTATCTGTTTGACTAGGTGCTTGAAGTTATAAACTGAAGTATTCATTCCTAGTACTTAGTGCCATTTCTCTCCTCTGAAAAGATGTGGAAACTCAAAGAATTGATTGACAGGATGAACCATCCACCGGGGCATTCCATTATACTTTCAGAGAAGAAGTATTGAAGGAAAGGAATTTAGAATTCAAACTCATTAGGGAACGTGAGGTGAGGACAAATCCATTTCCACTGGGGACAGAGTATTGGAACTGTGCTGTAATACTAGTTTTGCCTTTCGGAAAGGAGGGTAATGGCAGCAAACTGAGGAGAAAATTAAAATACTTTGAATTGAGCCAATGGCGTAAAAACAGGAATGCAAAAACACACTTGCTGGAAAAGCTCAACACGTCCGGCAGCGTCTGTGGAGGAGAAAACAGAGTTAACATTTCCGGTCCAGTGACTGTTCTGAGCAACGGTCACTGGACCCGAAACGTTAACTCCGTTTTCTCCTCCACAGATTCTGCCAGACCTGCTAAGCTTTTCCAGCAACTGTGTTTTTGTTCCTGATTCACAGCATCCGCAGTTCTTTCGGTTTTTAAAAACAGAATGCAGTTGGGTCCAGATTAAAAGGAAATGGTCTACTAGGTGCAACAAAAGTGACAAAACTATTATAAAGCACTGTGTGGATTATACACCAATGTTGCAATTATCTCAAAGGAGACTGATCATCTCATCAGGAGTGATCGTCCAGTTGATTTTACAGCAAACTATTTTGCTCCCACTAGTGTAAAATGGCCACTATTTAGAATAAGCGTAAAGATATAGTATACTATCAGATCAGTGCTCTCTCACTAAAGATAAAATGTGCAGGCTGATCTGCCGTTAACTCACCGCAATAAGAACCGATCTCAACCGAGAATAGGTATCTTCTAAAATATCATTAGTTAGTACTTCATCAAATATACCAGGCTCTTTACCTGCAGAACAAAGATTTATCACAGACATGCTTCATTGTATTGATCATTCTAATTCCATCCCAATTTATTTCTATTTCAAAAAATTCTACGGTATGATTAAGAATTAGAGGCAACAAAAACAGAAGTTGCTGGAAAAGCTCAGCAGGTCCGGCAGCATCTGTGAAGAAAAAATCAGAGTTAACGTTTCGGGTCCAGTGACCCTTCCTCAGAACTGAGGGTAGTGGGGAAAACATTGATTCATATGCAGAAAATAGGGAGGGGGAAGGGGAAGAGAGTAAACGATAGGACAGAGCCCATAGAGAGAGACGAGCGGTTGGATAGACAATGGAGTTGATAACGATTTGGCTGGGAAGGTGAATAGTTGTTAGTGACTAACAATAGGTAGTGTGCAATGGCAGGCTATGTGATAACAAGGCCTGGTGTGAGAGTTAGGGGGGCTTGCACATGGGAGGGTTTAGGCCCTAAAACTGAACTCGATATTGAGTCCGGAGGACTGCAGGGTTCCCAAGTGGATGAGGTGCTGTTATTCCATTCCCTCTGGGACACCCTGGTCAACTCTTCCTTCACCCCCAACACCACCCATTAACAAGTATTCACTCTCCCAGCCTGATCGGTGTCAACTCCTTTGTCTATCCAACTGCTCTTCTCTCGTTAGGCTCTATCCTATCATTTACTCCTTATCCCATCCCCCTCCTCTTTTTCCTGCATATAAACCGATATTTTCCCAGCCACCAGCAGTTCTGAGGAAGGGTCACCAGACCCGAAATGTTAACTCTGATTTTTTTTCTTCACAGATGCTACCAGACCTGCTGAACTTTTCCAGCAACTTATGTTTTTGTTCCTGATTTACAGCATCTGCAGTTCTTTCAGTTTTTAAAAATCAGAGGAACAGTTAGGTGTTGCACCCACCCATCCTGTGAAGAAACTTATTTCAATACCATTCAAATATAGGTACATTATAATATGCAGTTTAGCAACACCCAGAATTCTGCATTGCTAATGCTACATGCCACCATCATAAATAGGAAGTTTTACTTGTATAAGCATACACATTTAACATCAGCAAATATTTGCTCAAATACTTACTGAATTCCATGTCCAATTTCGCTGCTGCCAACCTCTTTTGCAAATTTTCCTCAGTTTCAGTTTTCCTCTGTCTCAGTCGTTGTTCCTAAAAATGGGGTTTGCAGATTCAGTTAACTTTTAAAATTCCAGATGAATTCATTTCAGTATTCATCAATTTGTTGGAGTAATGTCAAGGTTACCAGAGACTTCAGTGATGAATTTAAGTTGGAACTTCTGTGTATGACATAACTTGCTTTGAAAGATTCAGAGATAGTCTGTATTGCCAAACAAGTAGTCCAGGCTTTAATTCTTGCAGACAATTTCACTTTTTAGCAGATCTAATGATTTACTTAAGATTATAAAAACCAAAAAAAAAGTTGTTTTTCCATCTTGGTAAATAAATATTTGAATAAATGATTGAATATACATATGAATAAGTGTAAATCCATTCTGCACTTGTCAAGATTTTCCAGTTACTAAACCTTATTCAAATCTCAACATTACACCTGATCCCGATATGAAAAGCCACATTCAGTACTTGGAACATGGACACAGATGATTCAGTAAAGCTTACCCAGTCAGAAATATCTCAAAAACCTTATGCTGCCTGAATTCTTGCCAACGGATTTCAAGAAAACTGCAATGGAAAATTCCAAAAAGATTCTTGAGGAAAAGTCAAAATTTCTCAAATTTTCCATCAAGTTGCCAAACACAATAATGTTTTAGAGATAACAAGGTGTAGAGCTGGATAAACACAGCAGGCCAAGCAGCATCAGAGGAGCAGGAAAGCTGACGTTCTGGGTCTGGACCCTTCTTCAGAAATGCAAAGGTCCCTAAGAGGGTGGAGAGAAATTTACCACAATAGTTCCAGGGAGAGAGAATTTTAGCTACCAGGCTAGGTGGGAGAAGCTAGTGCTATGCTCCTTGGAGTGATGGAGATTGGATAGAAGTGTGCAAGACTATTGACCTTACCTGAGACAATGAAAAGCTGTTCCCATTTAGCTACATTGTTTATCACGTTCTTTTAGATAAGAACAAGGAGTCACAGATTTAAGATACTGGGCAAGAAATGTGAAGAAGAAATTTTTTTTTTTTAAAAAGAAGAAACAAACAGAATGAGTGGTAACTTGTAGCTCACGAAAGTAGTGGAAGCAGAGACAATAATTTCAAAAGTAACTTAGATGCAAAGTTGCCATTGTCCCAGAGAACCACAGGGCTGTTCTGTCATTAAAGAAATGACTGGTGGTAAGTTTAATCAGTGGGTGATCATGAGCAAGGAGGCTGTGATGGAGCCATATGTGTTAGTTAGGCCACAGCTGAAGTACTGAGAGCTGTCCTGGTTGTCATAGTATAGGAAGGACATGATTGCACTAGAGAGGGTGAAGAAGAGATTCACCAAGTTGTTTTCTAGGCTGGAGCGATTCAGCTATGAAGGGAGATTAGATAGGCTGGGACTATTTTCTTTAGAGCAGAGAAGGCTGAGAGGGTATCTGATTAGAGGGGTCCAAAGTTCTGACGGATATTGACATGACAGATGGGGAGAAAATTTTCCCCTTGGTACAGAGGTCAATAACCAGTTGTGCAATTTTAAGGTAAGGAGGAGGATTAGAGGGGATTTGAGGAAAAAGCTTTGCCAGAGAGTTGTGGATATCTGAAATTCACTAAGAGAAGCGGGAATCGTAAGACATTTAAGAAATATTTAAATGAGCACTTAAAATACCATCATATACAAGGCTATGGGCCAAGTGTTGGAATAGGGGATTACAGTGGATAGATGTCTGACAACCAACACACAGACACAATAGGTCAAAAGGGCCTCTGTCTGTGCTTTAAAAGATCAATAACTAACTCAATTGCTCTTCAAAGAGAGTCATTGCAGACTTGATAGGGCCAGAGACTGCATTGTGTATTGAAATAGTCTGATTTTATACAATTTTACAAGAGAAACATTCAGCCTGTCATGTCTGTGCTGGCTTTCAAAGATCCAACAAATGAAATCCAATGTTCAGTTCTTTACCAATAGCCCAGCACCTCTTCCCCCGCTTCCCCCAACTCCATTTTAACAGTTACTAATGAATCTGTTTCTAGAGTGTTTAGAACCCATGTATCCCCGATTATAAACATGCTCAGCATGCTTCTCACACTTACCCCTTGTTCCCAATTCAGCACAAAATTTAAAAACATTTAGATCAGCAATCATTTAAAATTCCTGTCTCCTGAGAAAAGACTAGAAAAAAATGCTTTTAAGCTGATTTAATGTGGGTACAGCTGACTATTTATACTAAAGTGATAAATGCAAATGCGTTTTTTTTTAAACCATTTAATAATAATCTTACAATTTTCTCTAAATGCCCCAAATATTTTGTACTGTAATTAAAGAGAGAATTCTGCTTGGGGATGTAAATTATCTTAACCTTTAACCTAGTGAATCCAAAAGTGAACTGGATATTACAAAGAAAGACAAAAATCTTATAATTACATGAAGGGTGAAAGCAGGTGGTTAGGAGCAATGCTGGTCCACTAAAGACTGAAAGTGGGATACCGTCAATGACTCTTTGGAAATGGCAGGTGTTGAAAAGTTACTTTGCCTCAGTAATTACAGTAGTAAAGGAGGATAGTTTATCAAAGGTCCCAAGGAAATTAAGAGCGATTTGGGAACAGGGATTGAATAAAATTAACGCAAGTAAAACATTGGTAATGCGAAAATTAATGGAATTCAAGAATGACAAATCCCTAGGACCATCCAAGGCTATTAAAGGAAGTGGGGGAGGATATTGTAGACACCCTAACTATAATCTTTCTGAGATCGTAAGAACTGCCGATGCTGGAGTCAGAGATAACACAGTGTGAAGCTGGAAGAACACAGCAGGCCATGCAGCATCAGAGGAGCAGGAAAGTTGACATTTTGGGTTGGGACCCTTCTTCAGAAATGGCATCCTTGGAAGAGGCTTTGCAGTGGGGTTATAACTTACTCAGAGATAGCAAGAACTGCAGACGCTGGAGTCAGTGATAATACAGAATAAGAAGGGTCTGGACCCGGAACATCAGCTTTCCTGCTCCTCTGATGCTGCTTAGCCTGCTGTGTTCATCCAGCTCTACACTTTGTTATCTCAGATTCTCCAGCATCTGCAGTTCCTACGATCTCTCTAACACAGTATGGAGCTGGAAGTACTTTCTGAAGAAGGGTCCCAACCCAAAATGTTAACTTTCCTGCTCCTCTGATAGTGCCCGGCCTGCTGTGTTCTTCCAGCTCCACACTGTGTTATGATCTTACCGAGTTTCCTAGATACAGGAATCCTCCCTCTGGGGCACTTAGAGAAAATTTGTAAGATTACTATTAAATGGTAAGAAAAAAGCATTTGCATTTATCACTTTATTATAAATAGTCAACTGTACCACCACTCACATTAAATCAGCTTAAATACATTTTTTCTAGTCTTTTCTCAGGAGACAGGAATTTTAAATGATTGCTGATCTAAATGTTCAATCTCTCTGGATTGAAAAATTCCACGTAACTTCGCTTTTTAAGAACAGTGAAAGAGGAAAACCAGGGAATTACAGACAGAGTACAGCCTAACATCTGCAGTGGGGAACTTGTTGGAGTGTATAATCAAGGATGGGGTAACCAAACGCCTTGGAAGTTTTCAGTTAAATCAGGGAGAGCCATCAGGGATTCATGACAGGTAGTCGTGTCTGACAAACCTCATTAAATTATTTCTGAAGAGGTGACTAAGGTAGTGGACAGGGGAATATCTATGGATGCACTTACATGGAATCTGATACTGTCTCACACAAGAGACTGTTAATAAGGTAAAGCCCATGGAATGGAGGGCAAATTGGTTGAGTGTCAGGCGACAGAAAGTACAGGTAATTAGTAGGTACTCAAATCTGCAGGAAGTAACCTGTGGTGTCCCAGAACAATTTGTGTTAGGATTGCAATTATTCACATTATTTATTAATGACTTGGATAATGAAAAAGAAAGTCATATATCCAACTTTGCTAATTACACAAAGCCAGACAGCATTGTAGACAGTGTAGATGATAGCATAAAATTAAACACTAAGTGCATGGGCAAAGTTGTGGCAGACAGGATTCAACATAAACATGAGGATATCCATTTTGAACTGAGAAAAGATAGATCAGGGTATTTTCTAGATGGTGTGAAGTTAATTACAGTACAAGTGCAAAAACGACCTGTGGGCTCAGGTGCCAAGACTTTTAAAATGCCACAAACAGGTGAGAAAATAATCATAAAGCTAATGGAAGGTTGATCTTTATATCCAGAGGACTGGAGTACAAGGATGCAGAATTAATAATGCAGTTACACAAGACTCTAGTTATCTCCCACTTGAAGTACTGTAAACACATGAGGAAGGATATACTGGCCTTAGAGTACAAGTAGGTTTACAAGAATGATACCTGGGCTTCAAGAGTTGAGTTATGAAGAGAGATTATACAAATTAGCCTGTTTTCTGTAGAATTTAGAAGATTAAGGGGTGATCTGATTGAAGTAATCAGGATTTAACAGTAAAATAAAGGGTAAGTAAAGATAAGGTACTTCCACTGGTTAGGAATTCTACAGCTAGGTGGTTTGTCTGAGAATTAGGACCAGCTCGTTCAAGAGAGACGTCGGAAACACTCTACACACAAAGGGTAGTAGAGATTTGGAACTCTCTTCCACAAACAGAACCTTGTTAGAGCACCGAGGTACCAAAACAACCAGCATCCAATGACTCAGTGGTTAAAAATAAAAACAAAAACCACAAATCTTTCCATACTCATCCAGTCATCAGCTGCAGATATGATTTTTATGATGCCACTTAAAGAGTATTCCTTTAAGTAAAGACACTTCACACCACTCTACTAGTCTGATTAAAACTGGCTTTCATGAAAAGAACCTCCTCAGCCTAATGGCAATGACAGGTCACAGCACTTTACTTACAAGAATTTCAAATGAAGGTGGTTGAATGGAAAGGTAAATTGGGCACAGGTCTGTTTTTTTGATATTTCTCACACCCTGCATGTCGATATCAAGAATACAGATTTGGTTTCTGGCTTGTACCTCCTGCACTGCTTTTTTACTGAAAGTGGAAAACAAAAGTCAATTTATTATCAGGTCACATGCTGATATTATTCAAAGAGAAAAACCTCCCAAGTACGTTTTTCAATTACAACATGAACCCAAAACACGACACAAAACTACAAGAATATTTTCAAACTACAAATTAGTACACTAGGTTTATGTTCTCTTGAACATAGAGATGATGGTGTGATATAATTAAAGGGTTTAAGGTGACTAAAGTACTTTATAAGATAGACAGAAAATACATTTCTTCTTACTGAGGGATATAGCAGCAGTCCACAATATGGGGTCAGAATCTTAAAGTTAGCCATGGGCCATTCAAAGGTGTTGACAAAACTCACCTCTTCACACAACAGTTATTAGAAATAATTTTTTAAAAATTCATCAACAGGATTAGGGTGTCACTAGCTAGTCCCGCATTTATTGCCCATCCCTAATAGCCCAGAGGGTAATTAAGTGTCATTGTTATAAGTCTGGAGTCACACATAGGCCAGACCAGGTAAGGATGGTAGATTTCCTTCCTTAAGAGGACATTAGTGAACCAGATGGGATTTTCTGACAATTGACAACGGTTTCATAGTCATTATTAGAATCTTAATTTGTGACTTTTTTTTTAAATTGCAATCAATTTCCACTATCTGCCATGGTGGCATTCAAACCTGTTTTCCCAGAACATTACCTGGATCTCTGGATTAATAATCCAGTGATAATACCACTACGCCATCACCTCCCAATCTGGGAATCTCAACCAAATCTGTTAAAGCTAGGGGTCAGTTGAAAACTTCAAAACTGAAATTCATAAGATTGTTAGATAATGGTACTAAGCGTTACAGAAGCAAGGTGGTTAATGAAGTTAATACAGATCAGCCATAATCCAAACAAATGGCAGAAAAAGTTTTAAAATGCCGAATGACACAACGCTATGAAAGTCAGCCTAAGAAAATTGATCTTTGGATTGTCTGTCTCTGTATGATCTCTTGAATAATCACATTTTACCTATCCTTCTCAGATGCTGACTCTCCTTTTGTCCTTTGTAGTTTTTCCTTTAATCAGATGAACTTTCATTATTTTGATATTTTTGTTACTAATAACATTGCAACATTGTTAAGATGCAGAGCATACTTTCTCCCTTGACTATTTTGATTTCTCTTTCCTTTTACAGCATTTCCCTGTCCCAACACTCTTTGGGGGAGAAGGTGGTTGGTTGAACATATGATTGTGGCACCAGGGCACCAGCTGGTGGAGGCATCTTGTCAATGCCGCTGGCTGGCAGGTTGTGGTGTAGGTGTGAAGTGTTTGTAAATCCAGGTCACATGCTGCCATTTCAGTGGCGAGTCAGAATATAAAGGACCTATGCTGTTCACATATGCTCAAAGATAGAACTGCTGAGCACTTAACAGACTATACAACAGCTGCCAGACGTTACTAAATGGATTACTCGTTTAAAAGGTTGAGTGAACGCTAAAGGGGATTTGGCACAATTTGAATTAGCAGCTTTCTGCTTTCTATTTTGAGAACCTTTAGAAATTGACAACTCTTTGCCCAATAGATATTAATTTGTGTTTGAACACCAATGGTACATACTAGGACCACAATTATTTACAATATCTTAATGACTTGGATAAGGAAAGTGAATGTACTATAACCAAGTCTGCAGATGACACAAAAATAGGCAGGAAGCCATGTGGCAAGGATGACACAAAGAGGGATACAGACAGATTAGGCAAGAGGGCAAAAACCTGGCACATGGAATCTAATGCGAGGAAATATGAAGTGGCAGGAAGAACAGAAGAACTGAATATTATACAAATTGAGAAATGTGCAGAAAACTACAGAACAAAGAAATCTAAGGCTTTATTTCAAAGGGAACGGAGGAGTGTAAAAGTAGGAAGGTTTTCCTAAAACTATAGAAGGGACTAGCTAGACCACAGCTGGGAATACTGTAAACAGTTCTAGACCCCTTATTTAGAGAAAGATATACTGGCGATTGAGACAGTCCAGAGTAGGTCCACTAGGCTACCAGGCACAGAGGGACTTCCAAGTGGTCGAGTAGATTGGGCGTGCACTCATTGGAATACAGAATGAGTGGTGACTTTATTGTAACATATTAGATTCTTAGGGGACTTGACAAAATAGATGCAGAAAAGGTTGTTTCCACTGTGGGATAGGCTAGCACCAGAGCGCAGGACCACAAAATAACGGGTCAGACATTTAGAGAGGAAGAGGAATTTCTTCTCAGAGGGTAGTGAATCTGTGGAATTTTTTTTTTTAAACCACAGAGGGCTGTGGAGACTAGGTTGTTAGGTATATTTAAGGCTGAAAGAGACATTTTTAGTCTGTAAAGGAATCCATGGTTATGGAAAATAGACAGGAAAGTGGAATTGAGTATTATCAAATGCAGCCACGATCTCACTGAATGGCAGAGCAGACTGAACGGGCTGAATGGCCAAGTTTTGCTCCTTTGTCTAAGGTATCACTTGTAATAAAGTGCCCAGGCCTCCTAATGAACAGGTTACCTTCAGGATCACAACACCTACCTTGTACCATACATATTTCCCGAGAACTCAGCATGTTCTATAAATTCCCCTGAATCGATGCCATGAAGCATTTCCTCTCTCGATACAAAATAGTAATCTGGGTAGAGTACGCAGGACAAACACTTGACTTATTACAAAGCTCACAGACCATACTTTGCAGACTTACAGACACAATCCAGACTAGCTGAGCCTTAGTACTCAAAATGATGTTCTTAAGGAAAAGAATATTAACATTATTTTCAGCCTCACTACATCTAAAAGTATACAGCATGATTGATGTGATAGAAAATTCTTGTGCAGGGGCAAAATAGAAGCCATTCAATGCTAACTTAATAGTTCTTTAAAGAAAAGTTAATTTGGAACTTATTTCAGAAACCAGCAAGACTTAATTTTAATAATTTTGGTCATTTGTTTTCTCCATTGAGTAGAGAACCTCAGCTAGTCTGTAAAAAGTTAAAGAAATCCTTAAAGCAAGTTTAAACAGAGAAGTAGATATCTGAAAACTAAACGCTCTTTAGGATTGTTTTAGTATTTGAAACAAAAGAGACTTTCTCAATGCACAAATAGGAATAAACAAGTGCAATCTTATCGCCATCAGAGATAAATGAGGGCAGAAATGACAAGGATTGGCACCTAAATATTGAAGAATACGTAACATTTAGGAAGGACACGAAGCTAGGGAAGAGGAGGAGGGTGGCTGTGATATTACAAGATGATATAAGTACCAATGGAGATCGATCAGCCAAGTTCACAAAGCCAGGAGGCAGAAACAGTTTGGGTAGAGGTGAGAAATGATAAAAGCAAGAAATTACTGGTGGAAATGGTGTCCAATAACCACATAGCAGAATGGAGTATAAAAGGAAGAAATAATTAGAGCCTGTCAGCAAGGTATGGTGATAATCATGGGGGATTTTGATCTGCATATACACTGGAAATCAGAGGACAAAGGTGGCCAGATGAATAATTGAGAAAATTCAAACAGCACCTTCTAGAGACAACCAAAGAATAGACTGTACTAGACTTGGTATTATTCAACAATCTAGGATTAATCAATCAGCTCATTGTGAAGGCACCCCTAGACAGCAGCAATTATAATTTGATTGAATTTCACATTCAGTTTGTGGAAGAGTGCGTCCAAGAATAGCAGGCCCTACTTAAATAAGGGCATGTATACAGAGGTAGCTGAAATTAATTGGAAAATTAGGTTAAATGTAGGTCAATGGAGAGTGACAAAACAAAACAGGGAAAGGCTTCTGAAATCTGAAGCACAAAGGGACTTGGAGTCCTAGTTCAGCATTCTCCAAAGGTTAACATGCAGGGTTCAGCTGGCAGTTAGGAAGACAAACGCAATGTTAGCATTTATTTCAAAAAGGCAATACAAGAGCAGAGATGCAATGCTGAGGCTGTATAAGGGTCTATTCTGACTGCCATTTGGAATATTCTGAGCAGTTTTTGGTCCTGTATCTAAAGAAAAATCTGCAGGCATTGGAAGGGGGTCCAAAGGTGCTTTACAAGATTGATTCTGGAGATGAAGGGCTTGTAAATTAGACTGGTTGACAACTCTCGATCTGTACATGGAGCTCAGAAAGACAAGAGGGGTATCTCATTGAAAATTACAGGATTCTGAGAGACCTGGATAGAGTGGACATGGAGAAGATGTCTCTCCTTGAGAGACTAGGATCTGAGGCACAGCCTCACTGTGTAGGGACGATGCTCGAGAATTGAGATAAGGAGGAATTTCTTCTGCCAGAGGGCGGTTAATCTGTGGAATCAATGCCACAGAAGGCTGTGGAGGCCAAGTCATTGAATGTATTTAAGACAGAGATAGGTAGATTCTTGACAGTAAGGGAACTAAGGGCTATGGAGAGAAGACAGAAGAATGGGGTTGAGAAACATATCAGCCATGATCAAATGGCAGACTCAATGAGCTGAATGGTCTTAATTCTGCTCCTATATCTAATGCTTTATAAAATTCCAAAGGGAGCACCCAAGAGCCAACATTAGCTAAAAAAAAATTAAAGATAGTATCAAACTTAAAGACAAAACATATAATTATACAAACATGGGTGACAGGTCAGAAGGTTGGCCAGAATATAAAAGAACATCAAAGCATGTCTAAAAGATTAATAAATTGGAAATGTAGAGTGCAAACTAGCTAGAAATTTAAAAAGAGATAGTAAGAGTTTCTGTATGCACTTTTAAAAATAAATGAACAAAGTGACCAATGAACAGGTCTTCAATGTAGAATATACAAGTAACATCCCAGAAATAATTAAAATCAGGAAATGCAAGGATGGAGGAACTCAAGAAAATTACAATCACTAGGGAAATGGTACCAAGTAAATCACTGGCACTGCAGTCTGACAAGCCCCAGCCACTAATGGACTTAAAAACAATGAAAATTGGAACAGGAATATGCCATTCAATAGGATTGTGGCTGATCATCCAACACAGTACAATGTTCCAGCTTTTCCTCCATATCCCTCTGCTCCCTAACAGCTGTATCTGTCTCCTCCTTAAAAATAATGAACTTTTTGTCATCAATTGGTTTCTATGGCAGAGAATTCCAAAGGCCTGCCACTTCCGGTGAAGAAATTTCTCATCTCAGTCTTAAATGGCTTATTCCGTATCATTAAACTGTGACTATTGGTTCAGGGCTCCCCAGTCATTGGGAACACGTATCCTGCATCTACCCAATGTAATCCTGTTAGAATTATCAAGGTTTCTATGAGATCCGATACTTCTAATCAACTCCATTCTAGCATCTTAAAAGAAGTGGTTTTAATTTTCCAAAATTTGAGATTCAGGAAAGGTTCCATTAAATTGAAAAACAATGAATGTATTTTTTCAATAAAAAAGTGGGGGGGATCAGAAAGCAGGAAATTACAAGTCATTTAGCTAGACATCTGTTATAAGAAAGATGATAAGAGTTTCGGGCGGCAGGGGGTATGGGGAGAAGAGGGGTTGGTTCTCAGTCAGCTGGACATCTGGTTTGTGGTAGACAGACACCAATAGTCCAAGTTCAATTCCCACACCAGCTGAGGTCACTAGGACGGTATCATCTTCTCAGCCTCACCCCTCACTCAGGTTAAACCACCACTAGTCATCCCTCTCTAATCTCAGAGCAGCTACGGGAATATAACAACTTTCATTTACCCCATTGGCATTATAAATATTTTAGGCAGGGCACTTTGTTGACTCTGCTTGATTACCTTGAACTTTCCAAAGTCCTTTTGGGAAAGAGAAATCATGTTTATCCAATTTACTGGAGTTCAAGGAGGAGGAATAAAGTAATGTGATGAAGGTAAAGGGGAAACAATGGATGCATTGTACTTAGATTTGCCGAAGTTTCTTTTAAATTCACTCGTGGACATGGGCATTGCTGGCTGAGCCAGTATTCATTACAATATCCTTTTATTGTCACACGTGCCCCATTGTAGGAGTACAGTGAAAAACTTTTACAATGTCTGCCTTCTTATGGCGACATCTTAGGTACAAGTACCTAGGTACAGTTCTTGGATACAGCAGAGGGATAAAAGTAGTTGCTTAATTACGTAATTGAAAGTAAGTTAAATATAGGAATATATTAAGGGATATATTAAGGGGTTAACATTACAGCGTTCTAAGGTGAGGGACTGTCCCCCTTACACCAGTCTCCATCCAGGATTAGCTGCCTGCATGCTGTTCCAGGTGGCTGCATCCTATGTGCTGCTGCAGGGCTTCTTCTCAACGCTGCTCCAAGCTCGCAGTCCACGTGCTGCTCCACGGCTCACTGCTCACAGTGCTCTAGGGCTCATGGGGCGCAAGGCCACACTGCTCGTGGGTTCTCTGCGAGTCTTGGCCCGTGCTCGCCCCGGCCCTCCACGGGTCTCAGCCCGCTCGCTCCAGTCCTCCACAACTCCATACACTCCAGGGTTGGTGGTGGGAAACAAAGAAAGGGGAAAAAAGAAGGATAAAAAGGAGGGAAAAGGGTTAAAGGACCTGGCAAACAGAGGAGCTCTGACCGGAGTGTCCTACTCTACCACCATCTTAGACTGAAAGCCCTATCCTAGTTGCCCTTGAGAAAAAGTGGTGGGGAGCTGTCTTTTTGAACCACTGCAGTCCATGTGCTGTAGGTAGATCCACAATGCTGTTCAGGAGGGAATTCAAGGATTTTGACCCAACAACATTGAGGAAACAGACCCTGAAGGTGACACAAAGGTTATTGTGAAAAATGAAAGCTCATGCTGGAGATATAACACATTCACATGAAAAGAAGGTTGGCATGTTAACAAGGAACAAAATAGACATAAATGGATCAAGTTTTGGCTGGAAACTTAATTTGGTAACCATACCTTTCTTTGGTACTTCCAAAGTCATTTATAAAAACAGTAAACTCATCCATATAACACACCATTCATCACATCTTGCCAACCAGCAAAGGATCCACTTATGCCTAACGAGAACTTTACATTTTGTGACTCTGGGAGTTTAAGTTAAACGAAATGGGTGCTCACCTTTACCATTCTCTTCACCTGGCCTTGGATTTCTTGTTGTATCTGTAAAACAATTCACACCATCAAGCAAACGTCACTTAGAACAAAGTATATTCACAAACTTCCAAGCCCAATTATCCTACCATATGCATTAGTAAATCAGTCTCAACAGAAAGGCCCCCTGAAAATGTCTAATTAATCGGTTTTGATTCAAACAAAACAATATTATTCATTGGAAAAAAATCAATTAATAATTTATGAATCTGACCATAAGCATTGCTCAGAACATTCAGAATAAATTAAAATTATTTGAACCAATTCTCAGCCAGAACAAATTGGAGTGTTCACTGTGAACTCAGTTCTATTTTCACAGCAGCACAAATTGTAATTTCTGCACATATCTGAAATATGAAGGTCTGCCTGCTGTTAGGCAGGTTAAGACCACTGGTGACAGACAATTGCTTTGCAAAGTCTCAGCTAGAAAAAGAAGCATTAAAAGAGCTACTAACGAGAGACGCTGAATCCAAAAACTTGATCGTATTCCTCAAAAAGCAGCTTCAGCAGAGTACTCTTGCCTGCTCCAGAAGGTCCACTAATTACCACTGGTCTGGGTTTTGCCATTACTGGAAAATTAAAAACAAAATTATTCATAACTCAACTGATGGCTCCAGTACTGTCTGAAGTTGCACAGGAAGAATTACAGCCCACACATAAGCATTAGGTTCCATTACTGAACGAGATGTCGGCCCTGGTGAACCAAAGACCTTCTCTAGGATCCAATTACCACATCCATCACAGAGAGGTGCCTCAGTTCTGAGTTTTATGCCCTTACCATTACCCACCCCTCCCAAAATGTGGAATGAACTGCCAGAAGAAGTAGTCAATGCAGTTACAGACCATTCAGGAGAGATGTTAGGAAGCACAACTATATACAAAGGGTGCTTGGAACTCTCTTCCACAAATAGCAGTGGATGCAAGATCAGTTATTAATTGTAAATCTGAGACAGATCTTTTTTTTTTGTTAAGCAAAAGTATTAAGGGATATGGGCCTAAGGCAGGTATATGGAGTTAGGCCACAGATCAGCCACGCTCTCTTTGAATGGTGGCACAGGCTCGAGGGGGTGAATGGCCTATTCCTGATCCAGTGATAGACATTCCTATGATAGACAGGTTTTTAACTAGTATTTGGATGAAGGGTTATGAAGAGCGGGCAGGAAAGTGGATCTGAGACTGAGATGAGACCAGCCATGATCATATTGAATGTTGGAGCAGACTGGAGAGGCTGAATTGCCTACACTTGCTCCTACTTACGTGTTGGCTGAGGAACAAATATTCAAAGTATCTAACATCACTATTAGCAAAAGCACTGGAGACAGAGTAGAACTTAAAATATTCTATTTTATAACAACACAATCTATTCATTCCATAACTTAGTCATAATACAGAAAATAATCTATATCTAACAAAGTATATTTGAGTCTCATGAACCACAGTAAACTTAAATCAAAAAAAGGTAATATCTCCGAATAGTCATTACTTTAGCAAAACAAATGAGTGGGGAATGATCACACAACAAAACTATGCACAAAAATCGACGAAGTTGTTCCTAAGGAGAGAAAAACACTACACAAGCCAATCCACTTGCTTTAAAGTCGTCTCAAACCACTCTTATAATTAATAAAGTTAGAATTAGAACTAGAACCAGAACCAGAACCAGGTTTATTGTCACACGTGCACTCATGAGTACAGTGAGAAGTTTAGAGTCACTGCTTATGGGGCTAGCTTTGATACAAAAGATGCCTAGGTACAGACTCATAGGAATAAAAACAAGAAAAATAAAGAAATAAAAAGTCCAGTATTACAGACCTCTGTGCCATCTTAGGTATAACAGATATCTAGATACAAAATCTTAGAAATAAATTATAAGTATAAAGAAATGAAAGGTGAAGAATTACAGTCCTTCCAAGCAGAGGTGGTGGTGCACAGGAGATCGCACTGAGCCTCGAGGCCCAGAATCCACACCTGCTTCACCTGGGACATCAATGATGCTGCATGAGGATAGGAGGTAAGAAAGAAGAAAAACAAACACGAAAGAAATGAAACAGACGGAGCAGGCGAGCTCTGACTCAGCAGTCTTACTCCACCACCGTCTTGGAACATGTAATGTGTCACATAGCTCAAAACCATATACATACACAACTCAAGTTCCGAAAGATGAATCTTTCACTTCAGTTCTTGGTAGAAAAATAACTGGAAAAGTAAACATTTCAAACACCCACAATTATGATTCACCTGAAATGCAGGACGAGGTCAAAATGTCTCAAAATTCTTCTGCCCCTGCCATTTGCTTTTGCATTGCATGTGCCTTTTGCAACATTTGCACTTTATATTTAATAAATGCTACCACTTAATCCAACACTTTGACCTTTTAATCTCTCCTTTTAATAACTTCAAGTTAGCAAAAGGACGTATAAAACTAAAACCATATTCCAGACAGTAGCAACATTATGTGAAGTTTATGCCCTGTCTGCCAACCTGCTATTATTTAAACTTGATTTGGGTATCTAGTATTCACGGTATGAGTAAATGGATTACAGCAGCACATGACACAGCAGTAACCAGAAGTCAAATAGTTTTAGTGATGAACTGAGACAGATTTCCGGTTCAGGTGCTATTCATTTCTGATTAAGAACAATCTTGTGTCGATGTCAAGTTTTCAGAATAGGTACATTCCTTCCTCTCATTTCTTCACTTATCCAAGGATGTTAAAATGCTTGTAACTTTTTCTTTCACAATTTCTTCAATGCCCTCATGGAGCAGAAATCTGGTCTGGTTGACTATAGACCCACTGCAAATGTGGTTGACTCTTAACTGTCTCTGAAATGGCCTAGCAAGTCACTCAGTTGTATAGCTCACTACGAAGTCTCAACAAAGAATTGAAACCAGATGAAACACTAAGCACTGACCTAGGCACCAGAGACAACAGCAGCAAAAGAAGTTCTGTTGACCCTGCAGTCCTCCATACTAATATCTGGGGGTGAGTTAGTCAAGTGACAGCCTGACATAGTCATTACTTTCAGAATCATATCTTAAAGACACCACCATCACCATCCCTGGATTTGTCCTGGTCCCACTGGCAAGACAGCAGAAGAGGCAGCAGTAATATACAGTCAGAAGGGAGTTGCCCTGACAGTCCTCAACATGGAGTCTGGACCCTACAAGGTTTCAAGTCTTCAGGTTAACTAGGGCAAGGAAACCTTTTGCTGATTACCATGTACCATCCTCCCATAGCTGATGAATCAGTACTCCTCCATGTTGAACAACGCTTGGAGGAAGCAGAGGGTGGCAACGACGCAAAATGTACTCTGGGTGTGGGATTTCAACGTCCACCACCATTTTTGGCTCAGCAGCAGCACAACTAATCGAGCTGGTCAGCTCCTAAAGTACACAGCTTCTGGAGGGAAAATCACACTTGGCCTGATCCTGACCAATCTGCGAGCTGTAGATGCTTCTGTAATTGACAATATCTGTAAAAGTGACCACAGCACAGTCCTCGGATAAAGTCCCGCCTTCACATTCCTTAATACCCTCCATCACATTGTTTGGCACTATCACTAAAGTAAACAGGACATACTTCACACAGATCTAGCAACTCAAGACTGGGCATTCATGAGGCACTGTGGGCCATCAACAGCAGCAGAATTGTACTCCAGCACAATTTGCAACCTCATGTCCCAGCATATCCCCCACTGAACCATTACCATCAAGCCACAGAATCAGTTCTGGTTTGATGGAGAGTGCAGGAGGGCATGTAAAGGCCATGGGCCCTGACAATATTCTGCTTAAAGTATTGAAGACTTGTGCTCCAGAACTTGCTGCACCCCGAGCCAAGCTGTTCCAATACAACACTGGCAATGTGGAAAATTGCCCAGGTATGTCCTGTACACAAAGCATGACAAATCCTACCTGGCTAATTACCACCCCACCAATGTACTCTCAATCATTAGTAAAGTGATGGAAGGTGTCATCAACAGTGCTATCAAGCAGCACCTACACAGCAATAACCTGTTCACTGGCACCAATTTGTGTTTCACTACGGCTTGACCTTGTTACAGCCTTCATTCACAGACGGACAAAAAGAGCTGGATTCCAGAGGTGAGATGAGAGTGACAGTCCTTGATATCAAGGCTGCACTTGACCAAGTGGAGCCCTAACAAAACTGGAATCAACATGAATCGGAGGCAAAATCTCTGTTCGTTGGAGTCATACCTGACATGTAGGAAAATGGTTGTGGTTGTTGGAGAACAGTCATCTTGGTTCCAGGACATCTCTGCAGGAGTACCTTGGGATGGTTTCCTAGGCCCAAGCATCGTCAGTTGCTTTAATGACCTTCTCTCCAATGGAAGGTCAGATATGGGGATGCTCATCGGCAATTGCACAATGTTCAACACCATTAGCGACTTTCTCAGATACTAAAACAGTCCATGTTCAAATGCAACAAGATGTGGACAAAATCCAGGCTTGGGCTGACAAGTGACAATTGTGCCACACAACAACCAGGCAATGGCCATCTCCCATAAGAGACAATCTAACCAGCCCTTGTCATTCAATGGTGTTATCATCACTGAACCTCCCACTATCAACATCCTGGGGGGTACCATTAACCAGAAACTCAACTGGACTCGCCATATAAATAGTGTTTACAGAGCAGATCAGAGGCTAGAATTCTCAAGCATGGCATCAGCTCTTGACTCCTCAAAGCCTGTCCAATCTACAAGACACAAATGACGAGTGTGATGGAATACTCCCCACTTGCCCGATGGCTACAACTCCAACAATACTCAAGCAATTTGACACCATCCCGGACAAAGCAGCTTACTTGATTAGCACCACATCCACTCCCTCCACCACTGATGCTCAGTAGCAGCAGTGTGTTCTATTGACAAGTTGTACTGTAGAATTCAAAGACCCTTAGATAGCACCTTCCAAACCCATGATCACTTCCATCTAGAAAGACAAGGGCAGCATATACACGAGAACACCACCACCTGTAAGTTACCCTCCAAGTCTCTCAATTTCCTGATTTGGGAATATAATTATCGTTCCTTTAATGGGTCAAAATCCTGGAATTCCCTCCATACAGGCATTGTGGATCAACCAACAGCATATGGACTGCAGTAGTTCAAGAAGGCAGCTCACCACCACCTTTTCAAGGGCAACTAGAGACAGCCAAAAAAAATGCTGGCCAGCCAGCAACACCCACATCCCATGAATGAATACAAAAAGAACCAAATTATCAGAATAACTGCCTGACACCCAGCACGTGATAAGCAGAAAATTCCTTCAATTCAATTTTGAAAAGACCAAAGTCATCGATTTTGGCTCTCACCACAAAATTCACCTTTTTGCCACTGATTCCATTCCTCCCTCTTGCAAATGCCAAAGACTGAACCCCATTGTTCACAATCTCGGTGTTACAGCAGACACCAAAACGAGTTTGCAAACACAAGACTCATGTTATAGCAACATCTCAACCTCAAACTTTTCACTTTTATATTAAAATCCCTGCACAGCCACTGAAAACTTGAGAAAAACAACAAGTTTATTACACTCAAAATTTTCC